CTGCCCACATTTGGAGTACATGTCCATGATGGAATTGGCCACTGATAAAGAATCAAAAAGACCCAGGCGTAAAACATGGGCATGTAATTGCTCGCCCCAGTCAATTCTTGCGATACCTGCACAGCCAGAGATAACTGCCGCAAAAGTGAACCCATTAGGACATACACCTGATTCTCGCATCCGTCGAAATGCCCTTATGGCATTTTCTTCTAGTCTCAGCTGAACATAAGTTGATATAAGAGTTGTCCAAGAAACCACATCTGGTCTGCTCATCTTTTCAAACAAATGCAAGCCATACTTTGATTTCCCACATTTGTTGTACATAGTAGCCAGAGCATTAGCCACACACGTAGTAACATCAAAACCACCCATTAAAGCATGTGCATGTACCTCCCTCCCCCAATTCAAAGCACCTAAATCAGCACATGCCTTCAATGCAATAGCTAAAGTATACGAATCATACTTCACTGCTGATCTGCGCATTTCAGAGAAGTACAATAACCCCCGCTTATAGTAACCAGCATGAACAAGCCCAGTAATAATAGCTGTCCATGATACTACATTCCTCAGAGGAATTTCATGAAAAACTCTACAAGCTTGCTGAATTTTGCCAATTTTTGAATACATATCCAAGAGGGCACTTCCCACAAAAACAGAGTTCACAAAATCAGTTTTCACCGAATAGCCATGTAGTGATTCTCCATAATTCACATTCGAATTAAGTGAAGTAGCCTTAAGTGCAAGACTAAGAATGAAGGGGTCCATCCGCAGTCCTGATTCAAACCACACTTTGGAGAACAAAAGCAAAGCTCCAGTGGAATCCATAGCGCTGACATAACCAGCAATCATCACAGTCCATGTAATCTCGTCTCTGTGAGGCATTTTGTCAAACATCCGTCGAGCATCCTGCAAGTTACCGGCTTTCACAAGATGCTTCAGCTGAGAATTGACTTGGACCATATTTACAGGGGAGCAGTTGTCTGGTCTTGTCCCTGAACCCAGAGTGCAGCCCGAACATAGTCTCCTGATATTATGAATCCTAACTGATAACTGCATCTCCGGGTTAGAACAGTAGCCACGCGAAACCTCTTGTAAGTAGTTTAGCATGTCCAAGAAGCGGAGAGGAGAGAAAACCAGAAGAGGAATCGAACCCCTCCTGACTCTGAGAGGCTTCCCCTCCGAGAAAGAGAGAGAGTGGGCAACCAGTAAGGGCCTCGAAGCTTCCAGAAGAAAGGGAGAAGAAGAACAGCCCCCCTCTGTCCGTCTGAAACGCTCTTTTTCTCTCTGCTCCGTCGCCGGCTGTCCACCAGAAGATTTAGGGTTTTTTTTTTCCATTAAAGGAAGCAGATAGGAAGAAACGGTGAGTTTTGAATTTGGACCGGGTTAGACTAAGCACGGGTTGGGCCTTGATGAATTTAAATGCAGACGGGCCAAGCTTCAGGACTTTTGTGTGTATTTTTAGTAAAGAATTTTTTAATTTGCATGTTTAGGATACATATTAAATTTCATTAAATATAAATTT